TAGACAGAGTTAAATTGCCCTCCGCGATCCAACAACCTACACTCATCCTTCCAGACGCCGATTTTCGAGTGGATAATTGAATTTTACCCCAAACTAACGCTACTTTATAATTAACCCGCGTTTCATTCTAATTACCTATGTCCGGTACGCCTAATTTAGTATACAGGGTGATTTTTATGTTCCGGACCCCCAAAATATCTTGAAAGGAAATAGTTTTTGAGAAAAATGTTGTATACAAAAGTTGTCAGGTTGAAAAAAATCTATTAAATTGTATAATTAAAAAACGGGCCCAGGGCCTTATGTGGGCCCTACAGACAAAAAAGTAAATTTTTTAAATGGAACCAAGTATTTTCAAACTCAGATTCTTGTAGTCAGTGATTTCCTCTTTTCAGACATGTGGTAACTTGTGGGCCCAAAGTTAAATTTGGGCCCAAAATTCGATTTTTTGTGGTTTTAAAGGTGATTTTAGTGTAACTTAGTTCCAAGGGGTTTTCGGGGTCCCTGATTACGAATATGAAGTCAGTTTTTAAAAATTTTCAATAACGGACCCAAAATGACTAATTAAAAATGAAAAAAATTAAGGAAAATTATGAAACTTCTTATTTTAGACTTACTTAGCCTGCTAATTGTTAATTCAATGTTACTTTTATTGCTGTTAATTTAGCATCATAAAACTAGGGGTAAAATAATTAATAGATTTTTTCAAATTTTAATATTTAGGGGCTTATAAGGCCCAAAATTAGATTTTCTTAGGTTTTAAAAGTGATTTTAGTGTGACTTAGTTTCGAAAGGGTTTCCGTGGTCCCTGATTACGAATCTGAAATCAGTTTTTAAAAATTTTCAATAACGGACCCAAAATGACTAATTAAAAATGAAAAAAATTAAGGGAAATTATGAAACTTCTTATTTTAGACTTATTTAGCCTTCTAATTGTTAATTAAATGTTACTTTTATTGCTTTTAAATAAGTATCATAAACCTTGGGGTAAAAAATTAGATTTTTACAAATTTTAAATTTAGGGGCTTATAAGGCCGAAAACTAGATTTTCAGTGGTTTTAAAAGTTATTTTAGTGTGACTTAGTTCCAAGGGGTTTTTGTGGTCCATGATTACGAATCTGAAATCAGTTTTTTAAAATACAAAAAAGCGGACCCAGAAATACTGATTGGAAATTAAAAAAAATAAGGGAAATTATGAAACTTCTTATTTTCAACTTATTTAGCCTTCTAATTGTTAATTCAATGTTACTTTTATTGCTTTTAATTTAGTATCATAAACCTTGTGGTAAAAAATTAGATTTTTACAAATTTTAAATTTAGGGGCTTATAAGGCCCAAAACTAGATTTTCAGTAGTTTTAAAAGTTATTTTGTGTGACTTATTTCCAAGGGTTTTTTTTGGTTCTTGATTAAAAATCGGACATCAGTTTTTAAAAATTCAAAAAAGTGGACCCAAAAAGACTGATTGAAAATGAAAAAGACTGAAAATTTTTTTTTTAATTTTCTCTATGTAATGTGCAAAAATGTCCAAAAAATTTTGGCATTTTATTTAATACTTTCCTTACAATAAAAGTTTTAAAACGTGTCTTTTTTCAATTCTAAACCCATAAGCTCCCAAAATTTTAATTTGAAAAATAAACCAATCTTCTTTTTTGCCCCCAAAGGATAGTAAATTTAGAGCTGTGTAAAAGTAACATTAAGATAACAAGTAAAATGCTAAATAGGTCTAAAATAATAAATTTCATAATTTTCCTTAATTTTTTTTATTTTTAATCAGTCATTTTGGGTCTGCTATTTTGAATTTTTAAAAACTTATTTTAGATACGTAATCAAGAAGCCCGAAAACCCATCGGAACTAAGTTACACTAAAATGAATTTAAAAAGTAATCAGGGAACCCAAAAACCCCTTAGAACTAATTTACACTAAAATCCCCTTTAAAACCACAAAAAATCGAATTTTGTTGATTAAAAATGAGTTTTAACACAACTAAAAACAGAATTTTCAGCCTTAAAAGCCCCTAAACCCTTCGAAACTAAGTCACACTAAAATCACTTTTAAAACCTAAGAAAATCTAATTTTGGGCCTTATAAGCCCCTAAATATTAAAATTTGAAAAAATCTATTAATTATTTTACCCCTAGTTTTATGATGCTAAATTAACAGCAATAAAAGTAACATTGAATTAACAATTAGCAGGCTAAGTAAGTCTAAAATAAGAAGTTTCATAATTTTCCTTAATTTTTTTCATTTTTAATTAGTCATTTTGGGTCCGTTATTGAAAATTTTTAAAAACTGACTTCATATTCGTAATCAGGGACCCCGAAAACCCCTTGGAACTAAGTTACACTAAAATCACCTTTAAAACCACAAAAAATCGAATTTTGGGCCCAAATTTAACTTTGGGCCCACAAGTTACCACATGTCTGAAAAGAGGAAATCACTGGCTACAAGAATCTGAGTTTGAAAATACTTGGTTCCATTTAAAAAATTTACTTTTTTGTCTGTAGGGCCCACATAAGGCCCTGGGCCCGTTTTTTAATTATACAATTTAATAGATTTTTTTCAACCTGACAACTTTTGTATACAACATTTTTCTCAAAAACTATTTCCTTTCAAGATATTTTGGGGGTCCGGAACATAAAAATCACCCTGTATATATATATCATCATTTCACAATTCTCACATTAGCTTAATTTACTGTTTTCATTTTGTAATTTTCAAAATTCACTGGATTTCTAACCTCAAAGTTTTGCTTTTTACACTGAGAAAACTGGATAATACAATTAGGATAATAAAAAAATAGTTAATACGTATACTAATTAATACCATTTATAGAGGCTGGCTACACCGAGAGCCAATCAGAAGGGTTAAATTTAATCCTCTGGCGCACTAAACAAGTGGACTAAATGTTGCGACTGCGCAGAATGTTTGTGTACATCTGCGACCATGGTTGCAATAGAAAAGGTTTAAAAAGTTCGCTGGCTTTGGTGACCACGTGGTCGCCTTTACTAACCTGTCGCTATCGCAACCATGGTCGCAGATGTATACAAACATTCTGCGCAGACGCAAAATTTAGTCCACTTGTTTAGTACGCCAGAGAATTAAATTTAACACTCCTGATTGGCTCTCGATGTAGCAAGCCTCATAATATACATTAACCAGCTTTTATTATTCAAAAATAATACCAGTTATGAATAATAGATTGTAAATTTTAAATTCCAAAATCAATTAAACTTATTATTTGCAATTATTACCAATAGTAATGGTTCTGTTTGTTTATTTGTTCAAGACATTCAGTGACAGTTCTTAAGGCCAGGTCCAAGTGAGGCAGCGCCATCTACATTGATACTAAAATTTTGGAAAATTTTCAACAGCCTTTTCTTGAAAACAAGATGGTAAAATACTTCTTCCTTTATGGATAATTGATTATTGGCAAGATATATACCAGCTAAAACTTTTTTTGAGTTAAAATAATGAAAAAAATTTCATGTCGATAAATTAAATATGAGCACTTTTTTCACAAAAACTGTAACAGTACTTTCTCAGAAATTACAATCAAAAATGCAATTTCCATTTGGAAAATTAATAAACGCTAAAAAATACACGACCTAAGATTTACCAATCACGAAAATAACAAAAATAAATTTTATTAAATATTTAACATATTGTGACAGCCCTTTGGTAGATTATGTATTTCAGGTGGTTAGCAACAGCGCCAATCTCCTCCTTTCGGCAAAACCGCGAAACGTCTGGTGACATATATAACCTGCCAAACGGCTGTCATAATGAGTAAAATATGTTATGTTAAAATACTTTTTTTTTGTTATTTTCGTGATTGGTAAATCTTAGGTCGTGTATTTTTTAGCGTTTATTAATTTTCCAAATGGAAATTGCATTTTTGATTGTAATTTCTGAGAAAGTACTGTTACAGTTTTTGTGAAAAAAGTGCTCATATTTAATTTATTGACATGAATTTTTTTTCATTATTTTAACTCAAAAAAAGTTTTAGCTGGTATATATCTTGCCAATAATCAATTATCCATAAAGGAAAAAGTATTTTACCATCTTGTTTTCAAGAAAAGTCTGTTGAAAATTTTCCAAAATTTTAGTATCAATGTAGATGGCGCTGCCTCACTTGGACCTGGCCTTAAATAAAAGGGGGCGCATGATTATCTCATAAAAATCATTAGCTAGAATTTTCATTTTTCGAATTAGTATTTGAATTACTCTCTTTGTAAACGAAATTTTATTTAACATTAGTTTTTAGGTACCGAATTTTAATTTAAGGTGACATTACAGTTCAAAACGGGGAAAAAGAAGGCTTTTTTAGGCTCTGTATTTCTAAAAAAGACCATGAAATTTATTCAGAAATTTTTGTTTACATGTTATAAATAACTTATTGAAGAATATGTAAAAAAAAAAAATGTTTTCACTTGTAGTCCACGATGGCGGTGATGTACAACATTTTTAAAAAATGTTCATTTTTTCATAGGGGGGGGGGGGGGATCGATTTCGAGATTTCTACAACATATGTGTCCTGACGCGGTGAAAGGGACCTTACGGTTCCAAAGCAAATTTTACAGGAGAGGCGCTCGAAGTGTAGCACGAAAATAGACATTTGAGTAGTGGGGACGTACAACTGCAAATCAGCACCACTGCTCACCACTACAACGCTACACTCATATGTTTGTGAGCATGCTACCTTCGTGCATCTTCGGCTCTACCATATCTTGTACCTCCCTACTCTTTCTAAGCTCTGATGTAAACATTGCCCTGGGCCCGGCAAATGGATTCATTTTCTATTAAAGTTAATCGATTAATTTTGATTGACAAAATAATACGTAAATAACTTGAAATATCTTGTTCGGATTTGTCGGATTAATTAGATGAGGGCGAGCTGATTAAGAAGCATCTCCATTTTTAAAAGTAATTTTGTGGTTATAAAAGTTGGATTTTTGACAGAAGTGGGGACAGACATTGAATCTATGTGTCAGTGGCCCAGAAGGTGGCGCCAATTCTAGCTAGTGGCCGCTGCTGAACTAACTTACCCCAAATTACTCCACTTTAAATCTTTAATAAAATAATTTCCTCACAATATTATTGCAAAAATAATATTCCTCTATTATTCCTCCAAATGCCAACTCGAAATACTTTATCCTTTAAAGATGAGAAGAAATTTACGAAACCCCTTTTTGACAATGTTTAAACATTTTTTTAATAATTATTTATTAATTCTCTGAAAATCGTTGTTATCAAATAAAATTAATTTTTATTATTTATTTTATCAACAGAGAAATTTTCAATTTTTACTTTTCTTACAACAGTAAAAATAACATTACTTTTGCTGTATAAATAAGTTATATGTCTTGAATTTAAAATATAAATTATTATTATTATTATACATTATTAAAATAATGAAAATCTAATAAATTGTTTATTGCAATTTTACTGGCTTTAATATGAGATAAATCCATTTTCCGGGCCCAGCGCAATGTATACATCAGAGCTTACATTAGAACTAGTGGGGAGAGACAAGAAATGGTAGAGCCGAAGATGCACGAAGGAAACACGCTCACCGATATACGAGGGTAGCGTCGTAGTGGTGAGCAGTGGTAGTGGTTTTGCAGTAGCCACGAGGCGCCCGAGAATACGCGGAAAAGTACTTATGTTTAAAGCTATATAACACAATAAGTATTTGAAGGAGACAAATTTTAATTGTTGGAAATGAAAAAGCAACTCAAAAACTATCGATTGGTATAAAAAAATAAAAATCGATTTATTTAATCATAAGGTCCCTTTCACCGCGTCAGGACACATATAGAGACATAAAATAAAAAACATTTTCTTCGTTAGATATTTCTCTATAGATCGAACCTCAAAAACTAGAAAATTTTGTTTTCCCTTTTTTTCTATAACAGAAATTCTGAATAAATTGTTTTTTTTCAAGTTTTAGGAAAAACGTACCCTAAAAAAATAGAAAGTGACGAAAATCCGTTTTTTTGTAATTCGAACTTTTCAAAATTTGTTTAATTAGACAATTTTTAATTATAAGTATATATAATAAAAGAAAAATCATTTTTTTTTTAAATTAAATGAAATTTTTGTTTTATATATACCAAAAGAAACGGTCTATCCTTCGTCTAATTTTCGTTAAAGCTCAAAGGAACATTTCATCCCCATATATGCAACTTTCGTCTTAATTTTTAAAATCACATTCCTTTCGTTTGTTATTCCGTTTCATCATTATATAATATTCGTTTGATAACATATTCTCTTATCTAATTCATCTTTTCTTTCCTTATAAAGAGGAAAAAAGTTTGTCAATAATTCAAAATCTAATCAATCAAAAATTACGTATTGTAAAAGTTAAAATATTTTTGATTTAGAAAAATTAATTTTTTTTTTATTTTAGAAAAATTTTTGATATGTAAGCATTTATTTTTCGTCAAGGTATAATTATGCATTAGAATGTGAAATAATATTTATAAATTATTGTTTAATAATATTTTAAAAATTATTATGAAATAATACTTTTAAAATTAATATTGAATAATATTTTTGAAATTATTACGAAATAATATTATTGTAATTTAAAAAATCTTACACACAAAAATTTATTCAATACTCTCATCAGTTGCAATTCGTAATTCGACTTGTTTAACCGTGTTCATTTCTCGTCGTGCATATAGATTACATGTGTATACGTACACATTTTTTTAAACTATACCGCAAAGTTTTTAAAATAATTTCATTAGACTTTTTAAAATTTAAAAGTGCGTTGCCTTTTTTTGCCAGTTGAGTATATATTTTGTAAGAGTTGTTTGAATATCAAAAAAATAAAAAATTTTTTTTGAGTATCTTAAAATTAGAAAAATTTATTGTGTAATAATCGAATATAATTACATTGAAATTTTTACGTTTTTTTTTTATCTCGATGTTAAAATGCACTTTTTAAAATTACCAAATTTCATAAAAGGTTTGATGGACAATTGGTTTTGGTTTTTGTTTGTGCACAATGTGGTTTGGACCAAATGGCAAACTGAAACAAATATTATTAATATATAAAAAAAAAAATTTATTATTATTATTATTTATTTCATTACTGATTGTAAGTTCAATAATGTATTTACCTTTTTTTTGAAACATTTTCTTTTAATTTGGAAACACTCGTTTCCTTCTTTTATAATTTCCGGTCCCTGTAAAACAAATTGCATATATAATTAACATTATTAATACTATTATTATAATTATAATTATTAATAATATTATTATATATTTTTAATTCGGATAAATATTTTTTTTCGTTCTTTGCAGAAAAAAGGTATACATATTTTTTTTATAAGTAGGACAAATTTTCGAGTTATGAATTTTTTAAAAAATGGGTTTTTCAAGGTAGACCTAATTTGAATGACATTTAATTCTGAAAGTACCGAATTTGAGAATTTTTGACAAGAGAAAAAGTTTCAGTTATTTATCAACTTTCGAAATATTAACGAAACATTTTTTTTTTAAATTTTTATATTCAAAAGTAACGATTTTTTAAAAACAAATTGATTTTTTTTAACTTCGGGCATGATTTTTTTTTCCATACCTGGAAATACTAAGAAAATTTTGTAAAAAGTTTTAAAGTAGGCCTAATGATCCTTTTTGTTTAAATAATTTATTTAAAACTATTTTTTTCAATATAAAATGCATATATGTTAGTTTGCTTTTCTATTAGTAAAAGATATTAGTGGCCAAAAACTTTTTATTTTAAAAAATAAAAGAAAAGAAAAAAATTTGTTTTCAACTAATTATTTAAACAAAAAAATTATCAGTCCCACTCTAAAACTTTTTGCAAAATGTTCTTTAGTATTTCTAGGTATGTAAAAATTAAAAAAAAACTGCCCAAAGTTAAAATAATGTTAATTAGAGTTAGATGTAATTGAAATTAGGTTTACCTTGAAAAACGCAGATTTTTAAAAATTCAAAACTCGAAAATTTGGACAGTTATAAAAAAAATACTTATACTTTTTTTCTGCAAGAAACGAAAAAATATATTTATTATTATATTATTACCAAGTCTACATTATAATTAATCAATTTTAAATGCAATTTGACTGGGTATGAATAAAAATTAATTATTTAAAATTAATATTTATTATACCTAATTAGAATTTATCAATTTTATATTAATAATTACTAGTTTTAACAAAAATTTTCATAACGCAGAGAAATTGATTACAATAAATTTAGAGCCCACAAAAAAGTTAAAACAAATGATAGGGAAATAAAATTTTATTAATGAAAATAATTATTATTTTTTTTTATAAAAAAAAAAAAAAAAAAAAAAAAAAAAAACTTACCGATGCAGGCGATGATAAACAGTCTGTTACTAAGAGTAGAATACAAACTGTAATTAAAGTAAACAATAAATATTTCATTTTTACTAACTGATAATAATACACGGAAAGACTTTGTGTATCACTTTCTGTCAAACTTGCCAAGAGATTTTAGTAAACTCGCGACCAAACTCGGAAAAAATGGAAAACGATCATTTTATATATAAATGTTTTCAACAAAAAATGTTTTCTTTCTTATCAAAATTTAGTAGTCACGCTAAGAAATATTCGTTTACGCTGTAAGAAAAATTAAGATTAAGAAAAAATGAATGTCAAAAGTATATTCTTTATATTTGTAAGAACGACATTTTCGTTGCGTCGTGTTTACAATTTAATAGTCTCACGATGAAAACAGCACGCATACAAACAAGCGAAGCTTGTCCGTGTAGCGTCAGCAGTTGAATAGTTCCGGCATAGATAGAAAAATGTCTACACAACGAACACTTTTAATAATCCTGTTTGCATAAAAAATTAATTCTGACATTTCCTAAAATTGACCTTATTAATAATATTAAATAATTTATTTTTTTGAAATTTTTTTATTGCACTTGAAATAAGTTTAAACATAATAAAAATTTTCTCATAAGTGGAAATGAAATGGTGAGATTAGTATATAAGAATAAAAATAAACTGCCCTCTTGATATCGTTGATATGAATTGTATTTGCGTTGCGTCGGTTAAAGCGAGCGTTTACCCTATCTGTATTTTAGGCGATTTTAGGTTAAGATGCGTTTATATATGTGATCTCTCGTTCATAGGTAAATTGGATTTCTACATTACTTGTCGATTGTCGATATATATATATATATATATATATATATATATATACGTATATATGAGGTTTCAGATGGCAACTTTAGTAGTCACGCTATTAAAAGCTAAATGTTTTTTTAGTGAAACTTCAGATTTTATTTTTTGATCGACTGACTATTAAATTTTAAAATTCTCAACAATCAATTATTGTACATCAGTAACTTTTTTCTGATTTTAATAGTCAGACTACGAATTATTAATATCTTTCCTTTTTTTCGAGTTTGGTAAAAAGTTTACTAAAATCTCGTGGCGAGTTTAACACAAAGTGATGCACAAAGTCTTTCCGTGTAATAGTAATAATAATGTTGAACACGGAAAGAAATTTAGTAGAAATATTTGATAAATCTGATAGGAAATTTTAGTATTCTCTTTTTCAAACGCGGAACATTTGGGTTTGATAACGAAAATCGGTATATTTTTACCAATAGTCTTTTTAGTAAATATATTCCAGAAATTGAAATTATTATTTCGTAAATTGATAAATTTATACGAAAAACCAGAAGTAAGTTAAACCGACGCGCACTTCGTTATTTACTAAATTTATATGAAAATTTGGAAAGATTATTTCGAAATTTGTTAAAACTATACTAAAAATTCGAAGTGGTTCAGTCGTGACAGATGACGACAGAAACACCAATAGATTCTACGCCAAAGTTTTATTTCTTTCTCATCTCGAGGATAGACGAGGATATCAACTTTTAAATGCACACACACACATACACCGCATTGTTTTACATCGATTGGCTTATTTTTATTCCTAACCTATACTAACGATAATACGTATAACATTCGCAGAATAACGCTTCATATACAAATTTACGCTCATGTGAAAAACTGATGTGACCATTCTTATATACTAACCAGACATATTTTTCACCGCTTATGAGAAAGGTGAAATTATATTAAAACATGTTTAAAAATATAAATAAAAATCATTATTTATTGGGAAATAATTAAATATTTTATTATTTTTTGAAGAACAATTTTTTTTACTGATTTATTGTAAAATCTTCTAAATTAATTATATAAAAGAAATTCAGGTCTGTATCAAGATAATGGTAAAAAGGGGCTTGTCTAAAGAGCTTCGTCAGTCTTCGTTACCACTCGGTGAGGATCGGGCAATTCCGAACGTTCAACTTCGGCAAATTTCGTCGAATCTCGTTAACTTTGATATTTCTTTTTCAATTTTCATATCAAATATATCAAAATCTAAAATAATTATATCATTTTATAGAATTCTAATTACGAAATTTGAAATATTTGGTTAGAAAAATTGATAAAGAGCTTATTAAAATTTGACATTTTTGTGTTTCAATAAAAAGATTTCAGATTTCGTAAATATTATATCAAATTTTCTTTCCAACTATATTAAATATTCTTATTTTAATCTCAATCATTCTTAAAAATAGTATCGAAAATCGTTATCATGACAAAATGTTCCGCAATTGTAACCAAATATACTAAAAAGTAACACCATAATATCAAATATTGCTACAAACTTTCTTTCCGTGAATATAATATATAATGTAATATAATTTTTGCCACTTTTTTATATATATATATATATATATATATAG